TGGCGCAGCTTATTAAGTACTATTACCGTCTAGAATGCTACCATTTTCGTGTATTTTAAAGAGGGCGCCAAAAATTTTTCGTCCAAAAATTACTACTCCATGGCGGACCGCTAATCTCAGGAACGGCAAATTTGAAATATAAAATTCGAGAAGGGTTTAAAAAAGAAGTGCCCTCACTTCCTAATTTTTCAGAAAAATTGGAAATCCTTAAAAAACCAAAATAGCGGAAATTTGAAATAATTGTTTAAAAATGTATCTTTTTTTTTTCGACTTTTTTCACTCACAAAAATTTTATTATCTCTTTTGGCAATTTGTGTTAAACTATCATAAAGAAAACTAAAAAAAAGGTGTGGTAGTCCAGTGGGACTGTAATTATACATTGACGTGATACATATAATAATTGCCTAATAATGCAAAAAAAATTTTTTACACATACTCTGCAGTAAAATTCAATGTTTATTTTGTTATTAATATATAAATATAATAATATATATATATATTTCAATATATATAATATAATATATAGGCATATGTTTAATATATCATGATAATAATATTATTAATAAATAAAAATATTGTTTCGTGATACATCAATTTGTCTGACATTGACAGATACAAAATTTAATTGTTGTTTGTGTGTGTGATATAAGTACACATTTGTATTTCTTGAGATATTTACAAGTTTTAATTTATAATTTAACGTGCCTAACGAGGCTCAAGACAAATCTGAATAAAAGGAAAATAATAATATAATATTAATAATATTATATTTACAAAAGGAACATTTTTATTCTCGATAGAGAAAATATATCTTCTGTCTTTCTCTTATCTATATCTTACATATGTAATGATTTTGCCGATTCACTCCCGTACAAATTTCAACGTCGAACGCGCGTATAAAAGTGTAACTTCAATAAACAAAATTCATCAAGGTTTATTAAAATGAACCGACTAGATTCGAAGATTAAAGATTTTGAGAAAAACTTCGTTTTTAAAATTGCCGGATACTTAATCCAAAAACAATTCTGGGTACAGTGATTACAGTGACTACAATATTACTACACTTAGATGCAAAAAAAAACGAAACAGAAAATTTTGGTCAAATTCAAAATTTCAATTTTTTATTGTTACCCTATTTGATGATTTTGTGTAGCACACTGTGTATACATTTATAAATTTTAATTTAGTATAGTCAGTTTTTTGATAAAATTTTATATTTGTCTTATTGTACGAGGTTAATTAAAACGTGGTTTTATTTTCTTAAACACCGAATTTTCTTAAAACCTTATTTTTCGGTTGCAACCATGTCTCGTAAACATTGTGTTTTTTGTTTCATGTCAAAATATGCATTGGTTCATTTTTTAGAGCCAAATGAATTTGCCACCCACAATTTAGGACTTTTTATTATGATTATTTGGAGTTATTTTGTATCGACGAGTGGCTTGGTGACTGTTATTTATGTCATATTACTTTTGTTTACTATGATTGATATGGTTCTTAGTTCGAGATTGTGGAAAGCCGTTGCCTGTTAAGTGGCGAATTATGTGTGCTAGGTATACACATCGCCACCATCAAAGGTAGTGGAACGTTTTAGACAACAAGCTTAACGGAAGTGCAGAAGTGAAACTACCGTGTCTTATACAGTCAACGCTTTGCGGGATCGTCATTTAACAGCGGTGTAAACAAGAAATCAGCTTCAAGAGGTTCGAGGCAATAATGTAAGTGTATTTACAGTTCGTCGAAGATTACATGAATTTGGTTTGCAAAGTTGCAGACCAGCAACTGGGCCCAAATTACTTCCACGGCACAGAGTGGCTAGACTACAATTTTCCAGGGAACATTTACATTGGAATTTAGACAATGGAGTAATGTTCTTTTACTAATCGATATGGGAGAGAACGAGTATGGCGTCGAACTGGAGAGAGATTTGCGTGCGCTTTCAGTCCCGCATTAGCCATGGAGGGGGTTTGGTGATGGTCAGATATCCGAGAGGCGCACTGAATTGGTATTTATTGAGGTTCGTTGACTGCACACCGGTATATTGAGGAATTTTAGAGAATCACGTAGTACCCTTTTCTCAATATATCGGCGATGATTTTCTATTAATGCAAGATAATGCGCGAACCCACTCTGCAATGTGTGTCACGCAATATTTAGAGGAAGTTGGTATTAATAAAATGAACTGGCCAGCGTGTTCGCCAGATCTGAACCCAATAGAGCACGTTTGGGACATGCTTGGTAGAAATATTAGAGGTCGCGAAGTCGCACCAGCCTCAATTAACGAACTTCGCTTGGCTCTAGAAGAGGAATGGCAAAACATCCAGCAAGATGATATTCGCAAGCTCATAGACCGCATAGCGACGGTACAGGCTTATAGAGGCGGGAGGCATTACAAGATTAAGTTATTTTTTAGTAGTTGTTCTTTGTTATTTGCGTACTTGTTAAGTTACATTTAAGTTGTTTTTTTATGTTTTGTTATTGTTATCATTGTTCATTAAAACCAAGATCATGTAGTTGCTTTTAATCATTATTTAAATACAATGCTTCTGGGATGCCGATATGACATTCCTTCGATATCAGTCATCAAAGCCCCCATCGTCGTACTACAAATTAATCCAAAAGATACTGGTAATAATAGGAAAAGTCGTAAATTGTGGATGGCAAAGTCATTTCGCTCCTAAAAGTGAACCAATCCATATTTTCATATGAAACAAAAAACTAATATTTAGAAGACATGGTTGCAACCGAAAAACAAGGCTGTACGAAAATCCGCTAACGGAATTATTCCACAGATGTTTCAAAGTTAAGTTAAAAAACCCCCTTTCCATTAACCCCGTACCATAAATCAAATACAAAATTTTATTAAAAAACTCACTCATACTAAATTAAAATTATTAATTTTACAAAGTGTGCTAAAAAAATATCAATATAGGACTAAAAATAAAAAAACTGAAATACTTTTAATTTGACCAATATTTTCTCTGTTGCGTTTTTTTGCATCTGAGTGTATAATTTAATTGGTGTCACATTTTTTTTTTGTTTATTTCTTTACTTGTAATACCTTTACTCTTGTCAAACAATTTATCTTTTCATTATTGTGGTTTAAAACTTAACGGTCAATATTTCACAATACTATTAATATCTACCTACTACATTGTGCAGTAGGATTGGTTTTTATAGATTATATCGAAAGAAGACGAAGCAAGCATTTTTAGATTGTATTGCTAAGATATATCAAATTTATATATGTTGCTATATACACTTGAGTGCAAAACAATCGACTCAAAAGCGATATTTTAGATAACACCTTCTGTTTTAATGTCAGAAGTATGAAAATAAAAAGATGTAATGTGCAAACCAATATCTTTATTATTAAACTTACAAAAACTGTTATTGCATTATTTGGAAGACAAATAATAAAAACAATATGCAATACGAATAGAGTTTCCTAAATATTCATTATTGGAGCTAACGCAAGAAAGACGTTATAAACACAGAAATCATCAATTACAAAATGAATTTCTTTATTTAGTAGTATTTGATATTACCACAACTACTCCTGATTACACATTCCAATCTATTTGCATGGATCAGATGACTTTTCTAATAAATTCTTGAGGCATTGCTTCCCATTCATCATTAAGTGCAGCTCTCAATTCCATTATGCTCCTAGGTGCATGATTTCTATCCTGGACTCTTCGTTTAAGCTCATCCTAAATATGCTCTATTGGATTTATGTCCGGGTTCAACGCAGGCCAATTTAGTCTAGGTATACCAATCTCAGTCAGATAGGTGGTGGCGACTCGTGCGGTATGTCATTGTGCATTATCGTGCATTAAAATAAAGGCATCGCCAATAAATCCCGCGTATAGAATCACATGTTCCTTCAAAATGTCTCTGGTGTAACCTCCTCCACCAGGCACGAAAACCAAGCGGTTTTCCCATTCATGGAAATATCTGCCCAAAACATACAAGAATCGCCTTCATATATCACAATTTCTCGTATACAACATTGAGCAAATAATACCTGACTCCATTGACAGTCGTTCCAATCCAGATGTTCACGAGCAAATTCTAATCGCCTAGCTTCTGGGCTGCAGTTAGCTTGGAACCCGTAGTCGTCCTTTTTGATGTCCCTTCAGTCTCCTTCTAACTGTCCAAACGCTGGTAACTACACCTCGGCTCGGACCTCTCTAAGCTTTTCTTTAAGCAGGCAAATGTCGATTTTTCAGAGATTTCGATACAAGAAATCGATTCTCTTGCCGTTGTTATTCGTTTACGGCCTCCTCTTGGTACCGACGATACACTCGAAACACAGCAGATTACTGGATTTAGTCGATTTGCCACGGCCCTCTGGCTCAGGCCTTCTTTCAGTACTTCAATGCTACTCCTTGAGCTGTTTTAACGGATGTGGTATCCATTTGTAATGCAATTGCGAACTTAAGGTTGTGACTTAAATGACTGGACTGATGTATTAGTGGGTTGCTATGGAAATTGATGCGTACGATGTTAACCGAATGCGTTAGGTCGTTGCGTGTCGATTTCAATGAGTCAAATTCTGACCCCCCTCTCTACATGTTGCATTATTTATTTGTAATACGTCATCCAATTCACCAAAAAACAAAACTTTTTTAAAACTCAATAATGAGGTTAATGATTGTACACTAAATATTTTAAATTTACACTGTTTAGATTGAAACAGGAGACGTACTTTCGCAAAATAATTTTGAGTAGATTATTTTGCACTCTTTTATATTTAATGATATTTTTATTCAGTTATATAATCTATTATTTTTATATTGCTCATAGTTCTTGGCATATTGTCGATATGTATGCAAAATTATATTAATATTTTTAAACACACTAATTATTCTATATAAAAAATGACATTTTTCGTAATATGTCTTAATCGATTCTTTTTATTTATCAACTACACATACTATTTATTATATATATATTAATTTAATTTCAATTTTTGTTAATGTTATTCGTTTGAACAGGGGGTCAAAATAAAGCTGTGTGGGAAGATGTCACAGGATCCACACCTCTTACCTTCGTTAAAGATTGTGTGTCATTCACAACTACTGTATCTGCAAGATTTTGGCTGATGGACTGCAGAAATGTAGCGGATGCTGCCAGAATGGCCACGGAACTTTATAATCAGGTATTTTAAATTCTTAATTTTTTTAACATGCTCTTTAAGTAAATTACTAATTAATTTATAATAAGCTAGGTGGTAGCGTGAACTTGTACCATTCTCATATTATTTTTCTTTTATTTTATAAGATTTCAAGATCAAAGTTTTAGGCGTTGGGAGCCAACGTATGGTCAAAAATGGTGGGCGCCAATGGCAGTCAATGTAGAACAATAAAACTCACAAATTTCTTTGGGAGCCAATGGTTAGGCCTCGTTTAGTTCAATCTCCCACGTGTGAGAATATCTTATCTCGAGAGTAAATCTAAAAAATGAGTTTGGCTGGGGCAAATAAACTAAGATAATAACTAATCATATGTATTGTACATAAATAAAATATGAAATTGAAGTTTTAATATTAAATTAAAAACAGCAAATCTTACCTACAGCTTTACAGAAATATTTTAAAATGATAATTATGGCAAATATTGTTGTCTTCAAGTAGTTGGACAGGATTGTAGAATGTAGTTGTTGCTTAATAATATTCAAATCAAATAACAGTAAATAATGGGTAAAACGAACAAACAATAAATACAATTTTAAATCAAAAACTGCATAAGAAAGCCTTGAAATTAGTATTTTCACGACCAGAAAAAAAAACCCATTACCTTCTGCTCGTTTACATATACAGACAAAATATCAACAAAAATAGCCAGACACATTATAGACCATATTCAATCGCTTGCTGTCGGTAATCCTGTTTTGAAAAAGGAATCAAATTTCGTTTTCACTTTCGATATTTGCTGTTTTTTATGATAAATTTTCTAAAATTACGAAAATGCATAGAATACAGTTGAACTTCGTTATCTGATGAATAATCAATGTGATGTTCTTTGGGAGGGATTATCCCTTTTTCGAGGGATTTTTTGACAGCAAATGGGATAAAGGGATTTTTCTAATCAAAAATGAGGATATTATCATATTAAGCAAAATAACTTTATTTCAGTAGTTATTTAATTAATATCTACAACATGTGACATCTATCGGCAAAACCTGTAAGTAATTTAAATTTCAATGGAGATTTTTATCTAGGTTACAGTTTTTTAGTTGAGTTCTTAGCATAAAGTGGCCACACATTGACAAATAACTGTTATCTGTCATAGTGTCAATGAATAATTGACAGCTGTCTTACGATGTCTAAGCGGTGTTTGAGGTATCAACCAAATTCTAAACTTCTAGTGTTATATATTGACAAGAAAAAAACGTATTTTTGATATAACAGTAATTGTGATTTATTCCAAAAATATAAATTTTCAGCATAACCACTTTTAGTTTACCAACATTGTTTCATGTTATACGTTATTGTACATACTTTTTTATATGTACATTTTTTATATTCGTATTTCAATTAAATCTTTTAAAAATTACGAAAGATGTATTATTTTTTTTTGGTTTAATTTGATATAAATATATTGTGTATATTCGTTTATCGCTTACATATCTCTGGTTTATCGCGACTTCGCTGCGCCATAATCCGCGCAATAAACGAGATACCTATGGGGAGGGATATTCCGATAAAAAGTGGGATAAATTTCGGATAACAGAGGAGTTTCGCTGTACCATGTAGAACATCACTAATCGATATATGTTATTAGACCGTCGAGATGCGATCTTACCTCTGTCAATTTCATTTTTGACAGTGTTGTTTTTTCGTCTTCTTCGCTATATTCACTTCCATTCTCATTTTTAGGTTTATAACTTCATCTGCTAGTTCACTTTCAGTCATGATGTTATACCCGGGGTCACTTTCGATCTACTTTTAGCCATTGTAAAACATCTTCCTTAGCTACATGTTCTCCAGCTTTTATATGCCATATTGATCACATATGAGACACAGACGTTCCAGACTCTCAAGACGTTCAAGTTTTGTAGAATCTCTAGTTTTTTAATTGATCGTTAGATTGATTCTTTTCTGTTTGTCCATATTTAAAGGGTAGGATTGCGAAAATTTTAACTATTGACCGTTTATTTAATAAACAAGTCAAACTACTGTAGAGTTGCATGAATCCTTGGCCTGCGTGGTAAACACCCATACAATCATAGAAACCTACGCGTTATTATTCAGGAATCCCCTAATAATATGCGATGTTATCACTTTCTGTCTCTTGCATACAAATGTGTTAATTTATCACATGTGTGTTAAGATATATATTGTAGATAAAATTTATGTTTCTTTACAATGCTTTATTTATTATTTTCCAGCAAAAAAATATATACATATACAAGTATTCTTTAGAAATATGTCCTCTTATGCTAAATTTATTGAATTTTTTGTAAAATACACTGGTATGGGGGGGGGGGGGGGTTAAGCATGTATAATATTAACAGTACGTTTTTATTTTTTTACATTTGACCGGATTTTTTTGTCCGTTATATCAGAAATCCGTTAAGTAGAGGTCCGTTATATCGAGGTTTTACTGTATAATAAAGTTGTCCCTTTTTTACTATGCTCTTAATATTTGTAAGTAATTTTATTTCTATATTATTTATTCGACATATTTGTATCAAGTCAGACCAATCTTTTGTACTATTTATTTAATATGCAAGTGAAATCAAATTCACAGTATTATTGACAGTATGACGTTAATTCAAATAAAACAAACTTGTCATCTTAAGCTAACTGCTCATCAGCTTAATTCGACTGTCTGAAACGAAGTGAAGTCTGAGTTCTCTTTCTCCTAGTCGCTATGAATCTTTGTTCTACGCATGCCAAACTCATTGTAGTTATCAAATTGAAATTTTTATGGAAAATATGGTTTGTCTAACTATTAGGGGTTATAAGAGATTATTGATGTTTAAATTATACTTAGAAAGTGACGAACGTTACAATGGAAGCACAAATATTGCAAATGCTCATTTCCATTATCTGGCCTGCATTATGTAAACTTTATTTTTATTTTTTGATAATCAATTAAAACATAATTCTTTATTTTAGGCAATGCATGTTCCATTTATGGCAAAATTCGTAGTTTTTGCCAAGAGAGTTTCACCAGTTGAAGCAAGAGTGAGAGTATTCTGCATGACAGATGATAAAGAAGATAAAACGCTCGAACATCAAGAGAACTTTACTGAAATAGCAAAGAGTAGAGACATCGAGGTAATTATATTTCTATTTTAGATGCTTACTTGGGTTTGGTTTTTTTTGTTTTGGTATTTTTATTGTGGGTATTTTTATTTTTACTACGGAACAGCAATAAAAGATAATGAATTATGTGTGGTTAATGGATTAAACGCAAAAGTTGATGAACTGTCAGCTTTACAATAGGTTTCTTGAATTTTTATACAGATACATAATTATATTAAATATCTTGGTACCGAGTATGTTGGTACCGGAGTGAAAAATATAGGCTCATATTCAACAATACTAGCGAATACATTAGGAAGCATACAGGTTAATAGTATCATAAATAGCCTTCATATATTTAAACCAATTCCTGGACAATTTTATCATAATGTTCCAATTTCTTTTAGGTTCTTGAAGGTAAAGATGTATTTATGGAATTCGGTGGAAATATAGTACCAGTACTACAGTCCGGTGATCAACCAAAATTAGGTTTCAAAGCTTTCAGAGAAAACCGTTTGGCGTTCACAGTAAGACTTAGGGATCAGGTAATAACATTTATTCTGGTTTACAGATAAAATTCTTTACACATAAAACTCATTTTAGGACGAGGAATCAACTGGCCGCATTATATTCATGAGCGACGCTAAAGTTGCCAGAGGAGAACCCAATCAAACTCCATTGTGCACTCTCAACCTTGTCCTACCAAAAGATGTTATTCCAAGTAGAGATTCGCAATCAGACTTACTTTCTTTGGACAAAGATCACAGCTATCTTTTACATGGAGGAATAAGTAAGTAATTGACATAATAATAAAAACATATGAAGGAAAGAAAAAATGCCGAAAAGAATGGTCAAAAGCAGTATTATGTTTAAAAAGTGAGATGCCACAAACTATAACAACGGCAGAAATATAGATATCCTCAATATAATGAAAAAATACTGACATTCGCGATAAAAAATATACTGAATCAAATATTAGGAAAATATGCTACAAACACGGCTTTTTTCCAATCATTTATTCATCATATTTACCTCTTTGACGAATTTCGTTACCTTACGAATATAGAAAAGGTGTACATCTACTTTATAATGGAACATACGAAGTTTATAATTTAAAAAATGTGTTTTATATTTTGTGATCTTTTTTTGTGTATAGGTAAACCAGACACCATTCATAGAGCAGATTTCCGGTTAACAGATATTTGTAATTTGTTGGACGACGATTGGGAGAAACTAGCCCTGGAACTGGATATTCCACCATCTGATATTGACCTCATCAAAGAAGAATATCCTGAGAACCATCCTCAGCAAGCTATGATTATGTTTAGATTGTGGTTGAGACAGAAGGCTAACAAAGCTACAGGTATGACATTTATAATTTGTTTTCAGGAAGACTGACTGAACGCTGATAGGTTTTCTTCTGTGCCTTTTTTCGCTTTCATATTTGATGTTAGGGGGATAAGGTGCTGAGATCTTGATTTGAGTTGAACCGTTAACTTTTATTAAAAATTTAATTTTTAGAAGAAGCTTCAATTCCGACTTTTGTACTTTTTTATAATTGGGCCGATTTTCTTTTCTGGACGTCAATACTAGCTGGTTTAAAAGGTCCGTCATTTAGGTTCTTTTTCCTAAATGTATTTTGCAGTTTCTCTGTATTTTCCCACATATTTGAATTTATTGAATTTCTTTTGTGTGTCATAATGTATATCAGTTCCATAATAGGTTTCTATGAGGTCGGTTATCAGGTCCAGTCACTCTTGGCGAAATTACATAAAAACTGTATGGATTTCACAATTATATTCACGCCTTGTCTCATACGTCTGTCGTTTTTGAATTTCGATACATATTTGCCCATTTTTATAAGAAATTTTTTATTTGATATGTGTTGTATCCATGGAATTTGGAAATTAGCCTCTAAACACCCACATTTTAAATTCTGTTTATAAAGAAAGTTTATTCCCTTACTAATTTTCAAGTTCATGTTTCTTGTACCACAATAAAATTGAGTATATATGTTTTAAGAAATCTGTATATTTTCTATATCTGTTTTCCTAACTATATTCAGAAGAATTTAGTCTTAACTATTGTGAAATATATAGGTCTCAAGCATTTTTGTAACATTAATATATGTTATCTACCTATTCTTTTTTTAAAGGCAATAAACTGGAGCAAGCGCTTAACAAAATAGGACGGCAAGATATTGTAAACAAGTGCATATGCAACGTCGAATTAGTAACTGATGATATGGAAAAAGCTCTAGCGAAGATCCACCTCGACCAATCTGGTTTTGAAAATCTGAAAGAAGAATTAGGACCTTCTCGGGATGCCTCTCTTAGACGAGATGCACATGTAGACAAGTCTTTCCAAAACAGTCAAGATGAGCTAGATAAAAGTGAAAAAGTAAAAAAAAGAGGTAAGTATATTATATATTTCATTCTTAACACTAATTTGAATGCTGGTGTTGCCTCTGTCGTCTTATATCTATGAGCTAGATGATAATAATAATAAAAAAATAATTTCCACAGAAAATAAGAGTTAATAGGTTAATAGAAATAATCTTTAAAATGATTTAAACACTATTTAGTTACTAATGTCGTGTTTGAAATTTGACTTTGAAATAAAAAAAAAAATGTGTTCAATAAAAAGTAAGAATATATAAACACGCATTAAACTGAGATATTTTTCATTTATTTCACCTATTGACTTATAAAAAATGATTCCCTGTGTATATTTTTCTATATTTCTCAAAAACTTTGCCGATTCTGTTCAGCTTTTTGAACCCCAATATATAGATCGGTAAAGCTACTATCCAACTTGATTATCTTACTTGGATGGAAGTCCTGTACCATTCTTTAAATTCTTATTCATATTGGCAGAATTGATTTTGGCTACTATTCATTTTTTATTTCTTTTATCATGAGGGAGGAAAAATCTCTTTATCCTTACCTAATAATAATAGAAATGTTCTACCCGCTAAAAATCTCCACCCGTTAAGAAGTAACTCCACCCTCCGGCTGACGATGCCAGCTGTCTCTAACACTGTGGTTCTGTCGCCTATGTCCATCTCGTACCTTGGTCTTTCTCTCGCCGAATTAATGAGTTTAAACCCAGTAGTGCACCACATAATCTTTGAACTTTACTTTTCAGTTATACACACATAACAGACTCCTCCTCTCCCCCCTTTTAGCAGCCTCGTACAGGTGTGAATAGCGTGAACACCTGAGTTATTTCTTTCTATATTCAACCGTTGTTGCAATATATCTTGTCCTGTCATTCTCCGCCATGTAAGTATCGACTCTCCATTGTCTCGTTACTTCATCCCTCCATGGGCTCCTGGTCTGTCTGTTTTTCTCCTCCCCATGGGACTCCAATCTATTATTTTGCATATCCGCCTATTCCTGTGTGTTCTTCTGAAGTCCTCATACAAATTTAGTCTTTTCCTCGTTCAAATTTCCTCGTTTTTGATTTTATCCACTTCTGTAACTCGTCTACAAAGACTCTGACTCACATTTCTTCATATTTCCTCTTCCATGGTTCAGGGGTCTGTTCAAAAAATATGTTAAAAAAAAATTGGAGAAGGCCTGTAGCAATACCTTTGTTGTCTGTTGGAAAATTTTGTCCCCATCTTTACTTTTACTATATCAACTTCTATACATGTTTTTCACTGCTCTTAACCCTCCCGAGAGTTCCACAACTTGACTCTTGGTTCTGAGTCATATGTATAGTTTTTTAAATATAGATGCATTTTTTGCCATTTTCTTTTCGATTACTTCTTGGAACGTGTATATGTGTCAAGACAGGACATCATCATCATCATTAGCCATTTTGCGTCCACTGCTGAAATAGCCTCCCGTAAATAATTCCATTGCATTCCGATCTTGAGCAACTTGAATCCAGTTAGACTGGGATGCGCTTTAAATCGTCCGACCACCTTGTTGGAGGACGTCCTCGACTACGATAAGCATCGTGTCTAGGCCTCCACTCTAAAATTTTCTTTGTCCATCTTCCATCTCTGACCTAGCAACATGTCCTAGGACATGTTGCAATACAGGTACCGCCTGCAGTAAATCCTGCATTTTCGCCAATTTTACCACAAATATGTTCTTCTATATATGTTTGTTTTAACAACTTTGCCATACAATCAATCCAATGATGAGATTATGCTAATTACCCTGTAATTTTCACATTTTCTTGGGTATTCTATTGTGAATATTGAGGTAATGCATTTGTCCACTCTTCAGGTAGTTCTTCATCGTTGATGGCTTTTTGAAACATTTGAGGTAATATCCGAAATAACTTTTCAAATGTATATTAAATCAGTTCCTTGATTTTGATGTTCTTTTGATTTTATTTTGATTGAGATTTCTTGTTTTTGAGGTTCTAAATAGCGCTTCTATAGACAAATCCATTTTACTTTTTCTTGAATGTTCTAGTCTTTCTGTATTTTCTACGAATTTGGGTGGGTTTTCATTACGAACTGTTCAATCACAAATTAACCCCTTAATTGTAATTCACATTATTCTTAATTCTGAATCTTTTATAGTTTCACCGTGTATAAGTTTGCATTATATATATTGCAAAACCATATCGTATGATAATTTAATAATTAGTTCATTTACCTACAAACTAAATAAATTGCCGAATAATAATATTTTCTAATTAACTTCCTAAGTGTCGCAATTAAGGCGTAGATTAAATTGTATTATAAGCAAAAGTTAGGTGGTGTGATATGAACGAAGCAATGACCTAAGGTGCTTATGTATCTATTATGTGTGAGATTATAAATTGGGGATTTGAGTTCAAATGAACACAGTCAATATTGAGTAGTTACCGAACGAACACCATATTGTGTAATTACGAGTTGCATGTCAATAAATCATCACTTTTACTCCACAACTTCAACATTTATTAACCTTATCATCATCGATCCGACGAGAAGCGGACAAAGGGACATTACGAACCGAACCGAACTTCATTACTAAGTCGATATTGTACATTGGTTCCTTCGAGCCGGACTTATGCCTTAAAGTGGTTCAATATTTACCCATTGTGCATGCTGTAATACTATGTATCTACATTTGCTCTACCACTGTTTTCACTACATGTAGGGTATTTATTATAGATAAATTTTATAATCCGATATCTTAAGGTACACATGAATAAGGTACAAAAAAAACGATAAAAGTAGTGAATAGAATACGTTTGGTAACTATCCCACTAATTGATAAAATTGCAACATAAAGAAGATATTCAGATTCAAATTATTTAAACCTTATCCACGGTAGTTATTCACTATATAAAAAAATTATTAATTTATTTATCTTTTAGTGCATATTGAAAATCATAACGCTATTAACAAAGCGCCCCCTGCGAACGAACCTTCCGAACCAATAGAACCGACGACTCCTGTAAAAATACAGAACGAAGCCATAGAAGAGATCACTCAGCAGTTGAACCAACTGCATTCAACTCCGAAGATAAGCGATCCACATGCCGGAACTCCTCCTCCGAGCCCTGCTGAATTCGGAGTAGCTGAGCCGATTTTAAATAGCAAACATGTCCTTATAGACGAATCAGCTCCAGAAGGTATGTGAAAAGAGATTTATTTGTTTGTGCAAACTCATTTATTTATTTTATTTCATTATCGCTTCTTTTATTTTAATTTCAGCCAAATTTAACCAATACCTATGAAAACTGTTGCAGTTTATAATTTGTAGTCATACGAGTCAATTTGTCAACATATATTAACCGAGTGTAGTTCTAAATATCAAGTAAAACTATCGAATATTTGGGGTTGTCTAATTCTAAACTCAGAATCGTGGTAATGATAGTCCAATTTGCTTTTTATCCTAGCAGTGATGCAATGCGAAGTATTCGAAGTTGCTTATCTGCTGTTTTGGGTCTTCAAAGAGTTGCAAAGTGTATTGTAATGAAATATATGAAACCAGCACCCTCAATGGTTCAATGAGCCGACAAACTTGAAGCTTGCTGAAGTGAGTAGTTAGCAATAAAATCCAAAAGGGATCTGCGGCTTTGAATTATACTAGAGATAGCTGCCATACTGCTCTTTTGTGACCATGCTTCCTGCTATTGATATCCGAACTAATCTACTGCTTGGTTTTATTCACAGTAGTGTTGGAACTTCATTCGATGTAAGATGAATCTAGACAAGGCGAAAAGCCCGGGTTCGTTTGGAAAAATATTCCCATAAGAGTTTTGGCATAATCACTTTCCTAAGATACTCTAAAATAACCAATTTTTAACAATAAATTTTTTCGGCGGGATCATTTTTTTAGGATTTTTGTCTGCTGTAAGTTTTCTCTAAAGTTGGTCATTTCCGAAATTTATAAATAACTTAAAAAAACCCAAAATTACCATTTTCAAGGCTCAAAAGCACTAGCGAAAAATATTATTTTTGAAATCATCAAGTGCCTAAATTCAAATTTAAGCCTTCTTCTATCAGCTCCCGATAAAAATTCTGGGTATGTTTCAAAACATTGTTTTTTAAGTGTCAATGAAGCGCATATGGCAAGGCGGGTGCTCATTTGTGCAATGTGAATTCAAACCAGCCAACATTTATATTACAGATCTTGTTTCTCTCTCTTATACACGCTGCATCCCAAGCGCCCGTTTTGTCATAAGCGCTTCATTCTCCATTGAAAAACAATGTTTTAAAATTAAAATAAAGCCCCAAGTACTTATCGGGAAATGATAGAACAAGGTTTGAACTTGAATTTAGATCCTTGTTGAATTCAAAATAATATTTCTGAATCAGAGCTTCTACACTGGCGTTGTATTATTTTAGCGTCTCTATAATAAAATGCTGAGGTGAGCGCCACTGAACCAACATCACAAGATGGCATCGTCACGGGTAATAAAATAGCGGTTCTTCACATCGATTCACACTCAATCAATTCGTTTCTAGTCATCATTTATTTATTCTAAGTAGGGTTACATTAAAAACTGCATGAAACATAAATACAGACATTAAATGAGAACTAAAAATTAAAAGAATACTTGTCAATAAAAGATTCTATTCGCAAAGATTGTCAAAATTTAAAAGTCACAAATGTCATCCGATTAATAAAAATATTGAATCATCTCTTCAAATGTTTAACAAACTTCTCGTTTTAAAATAATTTCAGATAAATACAATTATTATTTTTAAACATTATATAGTTTATATAATAATTAAATTTACTATCAAATGATATTTAATTATATTTTCTTTTTGTTCTATTTATTCGTATTTTTATTCTAATTTAATATTCCGTTTGAATTTGACATGTCTGTCAGAAGTAAACAACGTATGCTTTGTTAATACGTCAACAGGTGGCGTTAGAATTAAACATAATAATTCATTGAATGATTTGAATATAATAAAATATAAATATAATTATAAATATATAAATATAAATATAATTTAATATAAATAATAAATAAATAATAAAATTACTTTATAGAAAAAATAGTATAAAGCTTAGTGCTAGTCTACTGTCCAGCTGGCACTGAAAGGCTCTGAGTGTGGAATAATGATAAACGGGTTCCCGATATATAACATTCGTTACGCCGACGACACCGCGATAATAATAGACAACGAACATGATATGCAGTTGATGTTAAATAAAATAAACACCGTAGGAAAAATATATGGCTTGAAGATAATGCTGGAAAACCTAAATGCATGGCAATAAGAAAAAACACACTTTTAAGAATACAACTGCAAGTAGATAATGCTCCAATCAATCAAGTGAAAACATTTAAATACTTGGGAATGATGATGAATGACCAATGGGATCCTCAACAAGAAATACAATGCCGTACTGAACAAGCAAGACAAGTTTTTATCAAATTTAAACTACTATGTAACCGCAATCTTTCCTTCAATCTCCGCTACAGGATGGTTAAATGCTGTGTATGGTGCACGGCACTATAAGAAGAAGAAGTCTACTGTACCGCCTACTTTAACATCTTATTTTACCTTTACTTTTGAGCCTTGAAAATCCTAATTTTGCGCTTTTTTCACTTTTCAATTGTTTATAACTCGAAAATGATCAAGTTTACGGAAAAATTACATGAGACCTTGATTTTATTCAGAATGATCCAAATAATTAAAAAAAATGTCATATCCGAAAAAATTGATTGCTAACATTTGTTTAAAAATATTTGAACAATGTTTCGTCTGGGGTATCTCATGAAAGTGATTGTGCAAAAAAATCTCATGGGAATATTTTTCGCATTGTTTTAATCTTGCTGCTGATATTTAGTTGTTACTAAAAATTTTATATTTGTATGTTTTCAACACAAATTAAAAAGAATTATAACCTTTCTAACTTAGGTATGACGTTTAGAGGTTAGTTTGAGTAATACCTTTTAAAATATATAGAAACCTTCATCACATCCTTATAATGTAGCTTCCAGTGGAGCAGACATTTACCTTATTGTATATCAGTTATAGCCCATTCGGGGTTTATTTAAGGTTGTTTTTAGTGAGTCGGATCGAAAAAAATTTTAGAAATATCTCCAAGTTACTTATAGCCTGAAAAAGTTGTGAAAATTTAAGAAACTTTTAGAACAAAAAACAAACTTGGCAGACCTTTAAATTTCAAAATTTTATCTCGGAAAGAAGAGTATCGAAAATGGGTCTGACAGTCAACATAGAGAAGACAAAAAAAAAATTGTTTAGGGGGAGATGACAAAAACATAATATTGGAAGATGGAGAAGTTGAATGTTGTCCAGAATATAAGTACCTAGCCCTACAGATAACTAAAAATGGAACATTTGATAAAGCCACAAAAAAAAAAGAAATATGCAGGGTAGACAAGCCATTTCTATGCTTAATAGTATCCTTTGGGACCAGAGCATTTCAAAAGAAGATAAAAAAGATCTATAACTCCATTATCAAGAGTATAATAACATATGGTAGATCAAAGCTAAAACAGAAAAGATCTCTATTGCTGTAGAGATGGATTTCTGGAGAAGAGCAGCAGCAAGATCGAAAATAGAAAAGTTGACAAACGAACGAATTAGAGAGATAATGGATGTAAAACTCTGATTATTAGCCAATATCAAAACTAAACAACTAATTTGTTACGGCTACGTACAACGCATGGGTTAGACAAACACTGCCAAAACAAATTTGTAATCGTCACCAAGAGAACGAAAAAGGAGAGGAAGTATCTCCGAAAGTACCACATATACACAACAAAAATGGATAAAATATTGTTTGTAATTAAATTTTCTATCAAAAGGTACTTGCGCTGCTAATAAAAGAATCCAGCGCGTAGAAATAATATTTCGAGGTAAATGAAAATTTGCTTTAAGGAAATTTGCAACCCGGAACATACGGATCTTCATTTTGACGCATTAGAATTTTTTTGCTAATTAAGCAAGCAGTTTTTGAAGTGAATACTTCTTAGCGTTCGGTATAATGTTTTTGCACGAGCCCGAAATCATATTTAGCGTGCCTCGAAAAATCGAGACGCGTGCAGTAACCTTGCAGTATACAGTAATATAGATAATATACATACATATATAGACTTATATATAAAAAAAAATATAATATTTTAAATAAATTAAATAAAAGTAAATAAAATTAAATGAATTTAAATAAAATCGAATCGAAACAAATCGAATAAAATAAAATAAAATAAAGTAAAATAAAGTAAAATAAAATAAAATAAATTAAAAACCAACTTAACGTACGATAGATAGCTATGCTTTCTCTCCTCGGTTACTCACAGAGTGCCAGGTTTTTGTTTTTGTTTTTTTTTTATCCTTCCTTCTTTCTTTTTGTATGTAGGCTTTAAAGCCTGTTTCTTCTTCAATATTAGACTCCTAATTTGTTTAAATTATCGCAACATCTTTTTCTTCTTCTGCCAATACTTCTTCGTCCATTTGGTCAAATTTTTTTAATCCATTATAATGAAATGTAATGATAACCAGAATGAAGTAATTAAACAGAAGTACAAGATAATAAAAAAAGATTTTAAAGGTTTTTTAAATTTTAAAGAAACTAAATGTGTTACTACAAAAAAAAACAATACTCAGTAATAAGCACACATTTAATTTCATTAACCCACATATAGTAATCGCTATAAGAAGTATTCACTTCTTTCGACACTCCTTTTTGTTCTAGATAAGTTACTTTCCGTTTCCGAAATATTCGAGGTAAAAGGTTGAAAAATAGGAACCTGTTACGAAAAACAGAGATATTTATAAAAAATAAAAGGTGTGACTCACTATAACCAACCTAACCTAAGCTATTTTGGTACAGATTTCAACTGAGCTATTTGTGTAATGTTAAGTTTGTGAGTTTCGCGCATAATTCTAGATAATTCCTTGTGTAAATAATAAACTAGCCTCAAGACGCACGTGCGTCTTCAAGAACGGTACCCCCTATCCAAAAGTTTCCTGGACACTCTCTTCCAGAAGTTGTGTATTATGGAGACCACTGAACAAATACTTTTATCTACAGGTAACATGTTTATTGTGGACATTTACTATGCAATTTCGTGAAGCGCTTATTTCTCACTAATATTAAATTAATTAAGTTAAAATGGGATATTTTCCCCGTGGTTGGCTGTATAGAAAAGCGGTTCCTTTATATTTAATCGCAGGTTTACCGCATCATTTTTGATAACTGACTGCGGTGGCTCTACGGACGATTTGTCTCGACAGTTGTTTATATAATACAACCAAATATCTGACTAATCAGTTATGGGTAATTTAATTTTAATTTACTCTAACAGTTATGATGTAATTTAAGGATTACAATTAGTTACTAATGTAATAAAAACTTGAAATGTCATTTACTTTATGAATTAAAACATGTTGACACTTTGACTCGGCTTATTCTAACCTATAATAAGAAATCACTGTAACAACAGTAGGTCATGCCCATTTTAATATTAGCTTTTTAACACTTGCAGTTGGTGTAGGGTTTTCTTTTTTCATTTTTTATATAATGCGGGGGCTAGAGCTTAGGGGTTTTGGTTTTCTTTGCGTATCACATAAGCGCATGTTAGCTAAGCGACACCATTTCCAAACTTTCGTAGATTGTTTTACTTACTATTTTCCAAAAGGCACTCCGAATCATCAAGAGTCTGAGCCAGCCTTCTCTACGCCTTTCAAGATCGATCATCCTGATCCAGACCCTATAGCTACTTTAAAGAAAAATGTTCACGATACGTTGACTTTCTTACACCAAGAAAGAAACGATTTTCTTCCTGAAGACGATATAATTATTCCTAGCCGGAAGGATGATCATATCTCCAAAAAGATAAATTTAGATAGTATTCATTTGAAAACTCCAAAACGTTCAACTAGTGACTATGATGACAGTTTTCGCGAAACCGTAGAAAGTGAGGTAGATGACGTGATAAAAGAGGCCGAAGAGGTTGTTAATAATAGATTAAGTAATTCAGATACTTTGTTAGAAGAAAAATTCAGTAGAAACTTCACAAATAGGGATATAGAAGAAAAGGTTGATAGTATATTTGATGACGTAAAAACCAACACAGAAGATTCTTTAGATAACTTAGAAAGCTTGAAGGATGACTCTATTTCTATAATACAGGAAAAGAGTGAAGAAGCATTTAAATTTTTAGAAAATGAAGCATCAAGTCCTCTAACTAGTAAATACGATGATAGTAGATCGTTTATAGAAAGAGAAATTGAGGATTCTATATTTGACGATGTTTCTCAAAAGTCTCCTAAGACACCTCGTAGTTCTATACCAGTGGCAAAGCCTAGAAAGAGTGTAGAAAAAGAGAGGTCCGATATTATGGATGAAAGAGCCGTATCACCGACAGATCCTGAATTGTTATCAAAAATACCCGTAGTAAAGGGTGGTAAAATCAAAACTATTAAAAAACATTCAAAAGATCCCTTAAAAGAGTTCGTTACTCTTTCAAGGGATGTAAATTGGGACGATGATCTTGAAACAGACAAAATTATCGAAACAGTAACGACAGATCCTATAGTAAAAACCACAGTCACTAGAATAACAACAGAAACCACATCAGAACCAACAAAAAGTAAAATACCGATACCGCATCCGGATGCTTTAAATTTGACTTCGACTAGTGAACCGATAGATTTAGAAGCATCACCGAAAAGTAAAATTCCAGTTCTGAGAACAGAAACTACTAGAATCAATTCTCCAGAAACCGTACACGTAGAAAAAACTACTCTATCGCCGGATGGAGTCAAAATAGTCGAAACTACCACCACCATAGCATCACCTGGATCCAAGGTGTCAACCAAAAGCAGCACGTTAGATTCCGAATCCGATGATGATAGTAGAAGAAGTCCTCTAAAGGGGATACTGAAGAAAACCACAGTCAGAACCATCGGTAGCTCTAGCGGATCTGATATAGCTCTTCACGAGGAGGGAGCTGAACTGAGCGAAGACGATTCAGGTAAATTTTCTACTATTTAAATTTTCTCTTATCTTTCTTTTCTTTATTAGTTGCTTTTCGAGCCAAACAGAATACACATTACGTAGTTGAGAGAGTAGTTTGTTGACTTTTTATTTAATTTAAATATTAATTAGTCTCCTTAAAATGAAAACACAACAATATTCAGTGTTATATTAAGAAGGGTTTTTTATCTAAGCATTTACGTTTTTGTTCATAGAAATATAGTAGATTTATTATTTGATAATATTACGATTGGAACCAACCAACTCACAAGTTGAATTTGTATTTTTACAATAACGTTTTTGTACAAATTTATTCATTAAAAATGAAAAATAAGATTTTTGTGTTTAAGAAAAAATTTTTTGGTACATATTGTGATGCCCTCTTAAGGTGTGCCACAGAAGCCACATTTGTGGCATAAATTTAAGCTTCAGTATTTGGTTCTTCCTGTTCATGTTCATCGTTATAAGCATGTCTTTTTGCCTTTATGTATTACTATGCAATTCGGCTTTCCTATACGTGATTTGATAGCACCGTTTTCTTGGCAAAAGATTACTAAACTTGCGAGCAAAAAAATTGACTCAAAAGTAAAATATATATTTTGACTACGCTGTTTGGCATGCTACATATAATCAATGAGAGACTGAAAACATTCCTTCAAAGAGAAATTCCACAAGAGCAAACTGGATTTACCAAAGGTAGAGGCACTCGAGAACACCTGCTGAATATAAGACAGATAATCGAGAAATCTAGGGAATTCAACATCCCACTATACATCTGTTTTATAGATTACCGTAAAGCGTTCGACAGGGTCAAGTGGAGACAATTATGGCGAATACTAAAAGAAGTAGGCGTACCACAACATCTAATTACGCTTATAACTGAACTATATGAACACACTACTGGATCAGTTAAAGTACTTGACACACTTTCGAACGAGTTTCATCCAGAACGAGGTGTCAGACAAGGATGTATACTATCTCCACAATTATTCAACATATTGGGGAGTATATTATGCGAAGAGCACCTGAAGGATGGGAAAAGGGCATCTCAATAAATGGTCATAAACTAAACAACCTACGTTTCGCAGATGACACAGCCCTTCTTGCAAATAGTCAAGCAGAGCTGATGGAACTTATACGACTGATCGAAAACGAAAGTCAAATATTTGGTCTGCAATTAAACATATCAAAGACAATGATCATGATAGTGGATAGACTACACAACAATCATCCACACATAACCACAATTGACCGGTTCGAGGTTGTGAGCTCATACTTATATCTGGGATCATTAATCACAAACACAGGGTCATTACAAGAAGAGATTAAACGGAGATGTGATCTAGCAAAAGTTGCCACAGCAAAAATGACCAAAATATGGAAGGACTGTCCAATTTCAAGAGCGATAAAGATGAGGTTGATCAACTGCTTAATATTCCCAATACTGACCTAGGGATGTGAATCTTGGACTCTGAGACAATCGGAGAGAAGAAAGATAGACGCCACTGAAATGTTTTGTTGGAGACGAATGTTACGAATTCCTTGGACCGACCGTAGAACAAATAATTCAATTTTAAGAGAGCTAAAAGTTAGCCAACGACTTTCTAGTAAAGTCCATCTCCAACAATTAAAATATTTTGGACATGTTATGAGAGCAAACACAGAAAACATGGAAAGACTCATAATACAAGGAAAGGTAGAAGGCCGAAGATCACGAGGAAGATCCCCAACAAGATGGATAGATCAAATTACAGGAATATGCCAAAGACCTATGCATGAATTAAAAGAAATGACCAGAGACAGAGATCTCTGGAGACGGACAATACACGACATCACGTGGACCACTACACTCCCCTGGGGGGTCAGGATTGATGAGAGAGAGTTTGGCAAGTGTCTATCCACATATGTGTAAAATTAGAAGTAAAATATTGTAAACAGAAGTATTTTTATTGCAATGACACCAATATTTATTAAGTTAGTAGATAGAAAACATAACAAACATAACTTAATAACATAACAAAGATAGCTTAATATTTTATGTTTGAAAACATGTTATGAATGAAAGGTCATTATGTAATGAATATGAAAGTAAATTAACAAAAAAAAATCAAAATTAATACTGAGTATTTTCTCCTCTACGTTGTATTAGATTTTACATGTGATTTCTTGAAGTACCTTATTAAGTTTCTGACTGATTTCTGAGGAATCGCTTCAAACTCTTCATCTAATGTAGTTTTTAGCTACGCCACTGTTGCCGGTGGTGGATTACGGACCCGAACCGTGTGTTTGAGCTCATCCGATAGGCTCTCGATGTGATTCATATCCGGACTCAATGGAGGCCATTCCATTGTTGTTATATTGGTGTAGGCCAGGTAATCTTTTGTAATCCGCGCTGTGTGACATCGAGCGTTATCATGAAGCCGTCTCCTATATTGCCAGCGTAAAGACATGGTCTTGGAGAATATCCGATGGATGACGTATCCGTTTGTAAAATATTCACATACTGCACTTCGAAATGTACACACACGTCAACATTTGAAAAGCGACTGAAACCACCGTCAAATTCATAAAGAACATATAACATATAACATTGCATAGAACATATTCGTTACAATGCTTGCTGAATTCCCTATGCCATACAGAAGTAGGCAAATTTTACAGCACGTTCCCAATTAGCATAAAACTAACATAAAAATATTTTTTGCAATATTTGTTTTGTTTTGTATTTGTTTTAATTCAAAGTAAGACAACATAAAATAACTAAGCATAAACTAGAATTCATCGAGTGAGTCGATTTTTTTCTCGAGTAAGTGTAGTATACAGGCAAACACAATCATTTTATTATTCAACATAATCATCATCATTGGCACTACAGCCCTTTATAAAAGATTCAAAACCTTCTAAAGAGCGTTGCACTATTCCGACCTATATCTAGCAACTCTTCTCCATCCTTTAACTTAGGTTTAGGTACCTAAGTTTCGATCTTCCTCTAGTGCGCCGTCCATCGGAACCTTTACGATCCAATAATTTTCTCACTGTCCCATCTTATTCCTTTCTGATTATATGCCCAATTCATCTGTGCTACCTTAATGAATTTCACAACGTCAGCTTTCCCAGAGCTTCTCTATACTCACTGCGTCTACGCCACAAACCCTACTCATTTACTCCTCCATATATTCTTCTTAGAATCTCGCTCGAAACCCTAAAGCAACGATTGATTCTTCTGTGCAAGTGACCACGTTTCAGCTCCGTATGTTAAAACTGGTCATATTAGTGTTATATAAATGCAGAATTTTATAGCAGATATGGGATCCCGGAGCAGCCTGGGCTCCAAAAACGCTAAATACTAGCTCCTTATCGTAAATAAATAATAAAATTACTTTATTAAATTTTTAAAATATTTAAAATTTAAAAATACAGAAAACATAGTATAAAGCTGCTAGTCTACAGTACCGCCTACTATACCACCTTTTTTTTATTATTTTTTGTTGTTTGTAAACAACCCATCATCGGTTATGACTGATGTCTTCTTCTTCTTCTCGTGCCACTCCTAGCGGAGATTGGAAATCATCATGGCCACTGCGACTTTGTTAGCAGCGCGCCTAAAAAGTTCAATCGAACTACACCCGAACCATTCACGTAGATTACGAAGCCACGATATTTTTCTTCTTCCCACACTTCTTTTGCCCTTAATTTTGCCCTGCATGATGTTTCTTAAAAGTTCGTACTTTACACCTCTCATAATGTGCCCAAGTATTCCATCTTTCTAGTTTTTATCTCATTTAGAATTTCGCATCTTTTGTCTAAAGTTTGGAGTACTTGCGTGTTAGTGACGCGGTCCATCCTTGAAATTCTGAGAATGCGCCTATAGCACCACATCTCGAAAGCTTCGATGTTTTTTATGGTCAACTGTTTTAGTGTCCAAGCCTCAACTCCATATAACAGGGTAGAAAAGACATAACACTGTAGCATTCGTATTCGTAACTTTATATTGATATCACGATTGCAAAAGAGTTTGCGCATTCTATTAAAGACTGATCTAGCGATTTCTATTCTACATCTAATCTCTTTTGTTTGATCAGTATCGTCTGTGATCCAAGCACCTAGATATTTATAACAGGGCACACGCTCAATCGTTGTATTGTCTATTACAAGATTGATGTGACTATTACATGACTGATTACATGACTGATGTGACTCCCCGTAAAACCTATTTCAAAGTATTGTACCAAATTATGATTTTTCTACAAAAAACAACTCACGTCTCAACTTTTTCTCATAGATGTATAATTTTAATTTTCTGTATCTTTAACTGTATCTTTATTATAATCAACATTTTATTAAACATGGTTGCTTCGGATCATTAAGTTTTTAAATAAAAGAATCTACGACATTTCTCCATCACAAGACCTTCATGTATACAGTTTTTTTATACTTTTGAATGACTGACGCCATCTTTTGTTTTTCTGGCTTGTAGATTTCAAAGTATACATTCTTACTCATTTACCAAAATAATACTTGTTTATTTTTACTAACCGCTAAATCTTAAGAGCGTAGGCGCAAAATTTCGGGCCAATGCTTTGCAATGCATTCATTTTTTCGAATCCTGAGAAAACTAACTAATATTTTAAAAAAATTTAAATGCAGAATAAAAGATTACATTATTACCGAGGGCCGAAAGTCTTTAGAATAAACAAAAAGTTTTTTTGAATGAGATATTTGAAATTAAAAATCACATTTAATTTTCTCTTCTTTTTCACCCCTGTAACTTATTAAAATAAACATTATAGAAGTTTTCAGAGACTTTCGGCCCTCAGTAATGATATTATTTCATTCTGCATTTAAATTTTTTTAAAATACTTATCAGTTTTCTCAGGATTCTAAAAAAAATGAATGTATTTAAAAAGCATTGGTCCGAAATTTTGCGCCTATGCTCTTGGATAAATGCTAACTTGTTTATGTCTAAACCTGGCCCAATGTCCTGCTAAATCCTACACA